CTTGATTATTGGAATGAAGGTGTAGATAGCTGGATTTGGTTTAGATACATGTAGAAGCCATCGGTTCTGAAGGTCTCAACCCGGCTAGGTCGTGTGCAAAGTGATAGGTTTTCTTCCAGCTGCTCGATCACAAGTAGAGGGTTGTCGCACGTAGGAGCCGAATGGGATCTCGGTTTGGATAGGTCGGACGTGTGCGAGCACCTTGGGTCGACCGCTTGGTTTTTATCTGGGTCGCACGACAACAAGAGAGTCGTAGGCTTTGGCTCTCTTCTTGACTCTCCTCTCTATCCTCTTGTCGGGATCGAGCGAACACGACCTATGGAAAACCCGCACGCACACTGGGATCCCCCCGATATGGCCTTCACCTCTCTCTCACACTCTGTGGAACATATCACACAAACATGCCAATTTCTCCCTTTCTTGCTCGGATGCGCAAGCTAGAGGCTGAACGGAATGGTCCCTCCCGTATTCACTCTCTCTATACGTCAAACGAGGCTCTGCTCTGCGATAGGATTTCCCTACGCTCAAATACCTGCCTTAGCCATAAAAATCAGAGGTAAAAGACCCTACAACAACCGATCTTTGAATTCTAGCCCTTGGATCTAATTTCCTAATTTGGGAAATGATTTAGATTGGCTAGAAAGTCAAATTGAACCTATTTGGAATGAAATCGAACATGGATTAGGCTAATTGGGCCAAATTTGTGCCCGTATTGAGCTCGAATTAGATTGATTCGAGTCTATTTAGGTTTGATTGGATCCGATTGAGTCAATTTTGTGAAATGGAACTTGAATCGGCGCCGAATTGAGTCAAATTTGGTTCAACAAGGCTCGACGAGGCTTAATTGGGTTCGATTTGGACCGATTTGGGTTGGTTTTGATTGATTTGACTTTAATGGAAAAAATTGAGTTTAATTTGACTCAATTAAGGTCCGATTTGGGCCAATTTAGTTCGATGATGCTCGATCGAGTTGATCGATCGCGATCGAGCTCAATCGGGCTCGAATCCAGTCGATCGAGGTCGGCTCGATACGAAAAACACTTAAACAATAAGTACATAAAGATGAGGTATTACTTGGTGGTACAATAGCCATAAATGAATGCAATTGTTTTGAAATAAACCTACTATATGTATTTATAATTTCAAGATTGACAAGATATAGTGTAATTCAAGAGATATAACACAACATAGTGCAATTCAAAAGATAACACAATATCATAATATGTATAAATTAAGAAGTTGATATAAATGATCCGTTTGTGATTGTATGTAATCAGGTGAAACTTCTTTATCATGTATGCTATTATGTTTCTTTGATTTGACATAATTATTAAACAAAATAATTTTAGAATCACATTAAAATTAAATTTATTAAAAGATAATACTCACTATAAACTAATATAACTTGCACATAAGAAAGTGAATGCATAAGCTCTTGAAGATAACGATGATTCAATTTATTCACATCAAGCAAGACATGATTATATTTAGAAGTAGAGGTAGATTTTTATGTTAAGAAAGGTAGAGGTTGACCTAAGAAGACTTAGAAAGTATTAGAAATGATATTTTTTAATTAGATTTAAATGATAATTTGACTCTTAATAGGACATAATGGAGAAAAAAATTTAATGTAGCCGACCTCACATAGTGGGATAAAAGTCTTGTTGTTGTTGTTGTTGTATGCTAGACATGATCATACGTTAGTTTGCTTGGGATAACAAACTTGTTATAAAAGGCCTACTGTTTCATTGATATTCAGTAGCACATCTGTAAAATAATGATCTGTGCAAAATTCATCAATGTCAAATATTATATCATTAGCCCAAATACTTAACAATTTTTTACATCACACCCCCAGCTTTATGTGACGTGAGTAATGTAAAAATTTTTGTTAAGATGATCAGTATCTCTCTCTAATGACATTATTTCTAGCACGCAACAATTTGTTAGGACAACCATTTTATCTGGATTTTGCTTGTTGTGTCATCCTTCAATTGTCATGCATGTTAAAAGCTTTTTCAGTCTTTGAAATGTAAGCATGAGATTTTTTTTTTCTTTTTTATTACTCGTTGAAAGATATTTATGTGGAATCTGTGCCATAAATCTTCTAAATTGCCTCGAGATACAACTTTCATATAAAATTTTTGTTCGAGCATGCAAAGATTTTTGTGTTTCCATCAATTTTATTCAACAGGTACATGAACTATTTTTATCCTTTTATTTAGTTGACAGGGTAAATAGCTTTGATTAAATCATGTAATTCTGTAAATAATTTTCTCCACTGGATTGTTGGGTCGTTCAAGTCCTGGTTAACAGGTTGGTTAAATTTCCACATAATCATAGCTTGTGATTCTTTTATCCGTTTGCATGGTTATATTTGTTTTCCCTAGCTACTTATGTTCTATTTTATGTTTGTTGACCTGCTGAAATAAAAAAAAAGAAAAAAAAAATTAATTTCAAATCCTACCTACTCCCTGCGATCCCACGATGCAAGTCGCTGCCAGAGCACGTCGCCTCCACATCGCGACCAGTTCGCACGTCAATGTCGCCTCACACACGATCGCTCGCACGACTATTGAGTCGTTAAAAGCCCAAAGCGACAGGGCTTTCGGCTTCTTCCATGATCCGCACTCTCCCGCTCGGTTCTCTCTCCCTCCGACCTCCTCCGTGCGACTCGACTTCGCTCCTCCGACGTCTTTGTGGCTGGACAACTTCGCACCTTCGACGACTCGACCTTGAACATTTGTGGGCACAAGTACAATCAAACCACCTGAGATTGGTGAAAGGTGGACATAATACCGATGTTAATGGGTCTCCTACAAATACCTTCAGGAGGTCGTAGTGAGTACAACGGTCCCCTGCAAATGACTACAAACAACTTGTGGATAACAACAGTGTGTACATTGTAAGCATAACGAACCACTGTGGGCACAAGTATAGATATCACCAACAGCAACGGTGATCAAGATCTACAAGTATTTCGAGTACAACGACAACCCGATGTACGAAAAAGTCCACTACACTAAAGATCTCGAAAGGAGATCTTTTCAAAGCAAAGGAGTAATCAGTGGACTTCAAAGTCCAAAAGAAAACCCTCCCCGATCAATGAGAAAGGGGGAGTCAATATCAAGTCCAATACGCTGAAGAGCCTAAAATGAGTTCTTTTCAAACCAACAGTCTTTGACTCCAAAATCCAGAAAACTTCCCCGGTGAATGAGAAAGGGGGAGGGGGTCAACATCAAGACCAAATCGCCACCGGATCCGCAACACTGATACAAGCAGACAGATGACGTCTACAACATTCATATTCGGCCTTTAAGGCCTTTAACAAAGAAAATTCATGAACAAAGGCATAATGCCTACGAGAAACCCGATCCCCTTTCGATAATATGATAGGGTCGACAAGGTTCAATCAAATGGAAATGACCCCAAACACCCCGATGATGGCCGTGTTGAATGCATATCTCAACCGGAGGGGTTCCTAAATATTTTCAAATGTCCCCCAAATATCCAAATGTCTTTCAAACTCTACCCACAAACCCAAAAACTCCAAAAAATCCCAAAATTCCAAAAATATTTAAAAATGAAACTATCCATCCCAACACTTAAAGCAAAGCCCATCCACCCTCCGCAATAGTCTGTCGGGTGGACAGATTCAAATAAACTCTAGCTCACAAAGAGCCAAATGCCTAGTCGAAAATATCACTAGGATCCATTCTCAAACAATCTCTTGCCAGTAAGGACGTGGTACGTGTCCTCTAACCGGCAGTCTGCCGCCAAATGGCACCGCAGGATAAACGGTTACGACGACCCGGGGCCCTCTGAACCAAGTGGTTTTGCCGCCAAATGGCACCACAGATAGCGGTCATGGCCAGAGCCGATACGTTCCTTATTGGCATCAAATCCTTGAGATATGAATCAATATGATATGATCGATAGGGCACAAAGCCCTCTGTCAGCTAAGGTGGATCCAAATTTGTCCCCTTAGGCAAATACCCATCCCCGGTCTACAAGGTCCCATTGGACGAAGCAACCCATGGCTACCGATAAGCATCCTTCTGTCAGGTTGGGTCGACTACCTCCTCTGACTAAGTAGACCAGGGATTACGATGGCCCGGGACGACGGAACCATGGGATCTTGATCGGGCCCATCATCCATTCCCCCCCCATCCGCCTTAAGTGCAAGATGGTGAAATTTCTATTTTGAATATCAAAATCTTTCTAAATTCCCAAACTTTCCAAATTTCCAAATCCAATCATTGCTGCTACTATATGCCAGATACCACGTATTTTATACGTATCTGATTGACGACTAGCCTTAATCGAAAGTTCTCTCTCGTGATCGGGAGAGGTAATTAACTATAGGGGCTTCCGCCTATAGGAAACCAGAACTCAGATCATAAAGTCCTCGCAAAATGAGGGCGAAATCTCTGGGTAGTGTCTTATCTACAAACCCATCTGCCTTCCAAAATTTACCCCGGAATATATCCGTTAAAACTCCCTCGCCAAATAAAAGCAAAAAGAAATCGCACGGCGGGGAGGCCGGGGCCGAATTTTCGGAGCCCACAATGTTGTACTGTGATTTCCTAGGCATTTAGAAATCAATTGAATGTTGATATTTACAAAGAATCTAGCATTACTAGGCTTGCTATCAGCAACTGTGGTGATTGTTTCATGTTTTAACGCTTCCTCTCTGTTGGTGGTTTAAAATAAAAAAATAAAGATAATTTTTTATTGTGTGGTATTGATAAAAACTGAAGCCTTAGGGTATGCTTGAAAGAGGAGAATCCTTGTTTAAATTTCATAATTTTTATTTAGGCCCGCTGGCCAATAGTTAAAAGTTTTACTGGGCAGGCTTGTATCAATTTTTTAATTGGCCGAAACTTTTTTTTTGCCAATATTTTCTTATTTAAACCTTTTTTCTTCATTCTCTTATTTTCATGCATTTTCCTATTCATATGCTTTTTGTTCATAACTTGTCTCATTTTTTCTTTTTTCAGGATGCGTTTGGTGTTATTCCTG